TCTTCCTTTTCCCCCAAATTGCTAAACAGGCAATTTATGAGATTTATTGCAGTGTTGATGTATTTTTGGCCTCAGAGTGACTCGGAATTCTTTGCTATTTTGCTTGAGATAGCATGTCTCTTTTTTTTTTTTGTCTTGCCTTTGGCGAAAGGAGTAGTTTAGTACTTTGCTAAGTGTATGAAAAGTAGCACATTTAAAAGATTTTCTTTATTGATTTTTTTATTGGTTACAGTTTTATAAAGGTCTAATTGTAGTCAATGATAGATGTGAATTTACCCCTTCCTTCCTCCCAAACAGAATGAGAATGCTAATTTAATTTGGGTTGGTTTGCCATTAACAAAAGGAATCATTCAGAGGTTAATTCAAAGGTGCCTTTTGTCAGAGAACTTCTTTGACTGGTAGGTAAGTTTTATATTTCCAAAAGGAAACACGACTAGGAGAAAAAGAAATGTTTCTCTGTAAAAGAAATGAGGTGACCTGTAATTTCTAGCCCTAACGTTTTCATTTTAAGGAAAAGAAAAAAAGACAAAATTAGCTATCTTTCTTCAAAGACTCTCACTATTATTCTGGGCATCTGGAAGAAGCTGCTTCTGTCGTCTTTGCACAGCTGTCTCTGTGCAAATCAGTAAATCCACAACCAAATAAATGGTCCAAGTACATATTGTATTTTTAATTTTAAAAAGTGTGTGGAGGACATCTCCTATAGTTTGTCTTCAGTGGAAGATCCTGCTTTTAAATCCTCTGTGTCTAAAGACCTACAGGGCCATCCTTGATGTTCTTGGACACTCCAGTACAAGAGGGATGTGGAGCTGCTGGAGAGAGTCCAGCGCAGGGCTACGAGGATGATCAGGGGCCTGGAACATCTGCCCTATGAGCAAAGGCTGAGGAAGCTGGGCCTGTTCAGCCTGGAGAAGAGAAGGCTGAGGGGGGACCTGATCAGTGTCTATAAATACCTCAAGGGAGGCAGTGAGGAGGAGGGGGCGNACAGCCCTGGTGAGGCCACATCTGGAGACTGTGTCGAGTTCTGGGCTCCCCAGTACAAGAGGGATGTGGAGCTGGTGGAGAGAGTCCAGCGCAGGGCTACCAGGATGATCAGAGGCCTGGAACATCTGCCCTATGAGCAAAGGCTGAGGGAGCCGGGCCTGTTCAGCCTGGAGAAGAGGAGGCTGAGGGGGGACCTGATCAGCGTGTATAAATACCTCAAGGGAGGCAGTGAGGAGGAGGGGGCGGCCTCTTTTCAGTGGTGGCCAGCGATAGGACTAGAAGAAACGGCCACAAGCTGAGGCACCAAAAGTTCCACAGGAACTTAAGGAAACACTTCTTGACAGTGAGGGTGMCAGAGCCCTGGMACAGGCTGCCCAGAGAGGTTGTGGAGTCTCCTTCTCTGGAGATCTTYWAAACCCGCTTGGACGCAGCCCTGTGCCCCGTGCTCTGGGTGACCCTGCGTGAGCAGGGAGGTTGGACTAGATGACCTCTGGAGGTCCCTTCCAACCTTAAACATTCTATGATTCTTGCCCCATCCTGCCTTTCTTGCATGTTCATTGGTAAGTGTATCAGCCCCTCCTGGGCAAGGGAGAATAAAAGGGAGAATTCTGGTAARTGTGTTTTTTATAAGGAAAAAGATAATGGAGAAAACCATACCCTGTGAGACTGGTGTCATTAGTGTTCGCGGCCGGGTTGCAGAAGGTCCTTTCCGGGCGCCGCGGCTGCGTCTCCCCAGCGCTGCCTGCCAGGGCAGCCAAGAAGTCAGGGCCGGGTGGCTGTGCGGAGCACGCGGCCTTCCTGATCCCGCCATGGGAACGTCCCAGGGCAGCTGGAGCTGGTGTCCGGCCGCGGGGCCACGTGGAGGGGTGAGGCTAGAGCTGCAGCCCTGCAGGGAGGCGCAGGCGGCCGGCCACAGCGTTTCTCGTATTCAGCCCAAGCTAACTCCACGTTCTCGTGGTTTTTCTCTGTGTTTTGTTCTGCTTTTCCCCCGTTTTGGGTTTCTTTTGCTCACCTGCAGGGCTGCAGCCTCCAGTAACACCGTGTCCTTCCTGGAGATGGTGACTGGGGTTTGCTCTCCCAATGACCAACTGAGCAGCATCTGGAGGAATGATGGATAGTTGCTTCAGTTGAAAGCCAGAGGGTATCCTGCGGATAGACAGCGTTTCATCCTGCAGCCCAGCGTAGCTTCTGGCACCTCCATGGCTCCGGGGTGACACCGTAAGCAGGGCAGATAGAGAGGGGGAAGGCTGTACCAGGAGACAAGTCAGAAATGGATTGTATGTCCAGGGCTAGGTGGGAGAGGAGTTTGGGATTGAGCTGGAACTCATAATGCACATTCATAGTTGGAAACTATTTTCATTTCTATTCAGTTTTCTATTCATTTTTCTATTAAAATGACAAGCACCATTACAGGGCACCTCTGCTCATCGGCTTTTTATGGATTTTTTTTTTCAGCTCTGGGGGTAGTTTGTTTTGGTTTCTCATTGTGACTGCAGAAAGGCATGGGTAACTTATTCAATATTAGTGGAAAGCAAGATAGCAGAAATATGCCATAGTGGAGTTTCATAAACAGGTATTTCTAAAGAAGTCCAGAGGTTCTGCATCCTTCTCTGCCTTATTTCCTCTTTGAACCAGGGAAGTCTTTGCACCTTTTTTTCCCACCCTGCAGTTCAGTGAAGGTAGGAAGACTGTCCTCTGAAGTGACATCAAGTCTTTATTTGTTTCTAGGTTTCCAAACACTGTGTAGGGTCTGGTGCCTATACCAGAGGGGAAGGTTCTTCTTCCTTGTGGGCAAATGCACAGTGTATCTCCCCTCTGCACTGTGACTGTGTGGGTGCTATCTCTAGAGTAAATGGTGCTGCTTGAAAATTTGAACTGAAAAACATAGCTGTTTTGGTCAAAACATTTTYCAACTTTGTTTTCCCTCAGCGGCAAGTGTTTCTACATCATTCAGACTCATCCTTTGCTTTTGCTTTTTCGTTGAGATGCAGTTCAATTTATTTTTTCTCCCTCTTTCTAAACGGCCCCTGGCACAATTCATGCTTTTGCGGTGGTACCTCTTCTGCAAAGAGCATTTGCTGAGCACGCTAACCCTGGTAATTGCAAACTGCACCAAAGTGGAGTCTGTAGTAAAAGGTATTGCTACATGGGTGTGAGAAGTGCTGAGCCACTGCTGTGTTTGAGAAGAGGTTTGAGCACTGCTTGTCATTCTGCCTGGCGTGAAAGCTGAGGCACAGCCAAAAAGATGCCACCACGATACACTTTTCAGCCACCTTGCTAGAGTTATGCACTGTGAGTGGACGTAGTGTGAACCATCTGAATGCAGCATCCCTTGGAGTCATGGCAGAGAGGCCCCTTCAGATGGTGTGTGACAGATCCCCCCATCTCAGTCACTTCAGGTGCTTCGTGACCTCATGGATGCACTTTTTGCCTCTGACAGTAGAGGCAGATGAGATCCTATCCTGAGTTCATGCCTGACTTTTAGGTAGAGAAGGCAGATCTTGCCCTCAGTAAATATCCTTGTTGTGTGTAAATGATTCAGCCCTGTAGCTGGAGTAGGTTGATGTATGGCAGTATGCCAATGTTAGTCTGAAACACTGGCATTTTTGTAACCATCCAAAAATGTATTGTCTTTTTCACAAAATAGGATTCATATGTTGCTATACTGAGACTTCAGAATTTCGATACTAACTGTGCAAGCAGTTACTCACCAGCTCTAGGTGTGAAAAAAAAAAAACAAAACAAGCTGTAGTACTTCAAGTGAGAGCAGCGTCTGGTCCTGCATCATTGATTAGACTCCCATTTCTCTATCCAAAAATCGTCTGACATTTCTGTTTTTACATCCCTCCAGCAAAAGCTTTGGAACTCAATTTGCTCTCCAAATTTGAGATGTTGCCCAAACCAATTAGAAAATACTACAGCCATTAAGTGACTCTGTTTGCATCTGTTTCTGAATGTGACACTGCTGCACTTGTGTGAATGAATTTAGGATGCAACTGCAGCGCCTGATTAGACTGTGCTATTACAGGGCAGGGCAGGAAAACACAGATGTCTAGCTGGGTGATTTAACAGACCTAAATGCCATGCTTTCACCTAAAGAAATCTGACTTGGCTGCTTTTAAATGAGCTCCGTTAGCTTGATTATATCCGTACAGTTCAAGAGAAGTGTGAACTGATTCAGACTCTTGGATGRAGTACGTAAAAAGGTTTTGATTTCCCCATGTCAGGGGAAGGGAGGCTGCTGTTGGTTACAAGGTCTTGACATTTTTGGTGTTGGCCATGCAAATAACAGTTGTTTTGCACTGCGTTTGACATTTCGATTTCTTCTGAGCTAGCAAGGCAACATTAAGCAGGAGCCCAAATGAAAGACTTTGAATATTAGTATAGAGCATGCCTCACATTTTCAGCTCTGTGTTGGCTACAGACATCTTGTGTGAGAAAGTATCGTTTAAAGTTTAGATACTGTCTCCAGAAGGATAAAATGAATGCATTAATGTGCCATTTAGGGCCAGTTTTCTTTACAGAAAACATGACTGATTGAGCTGCTTTCTCTCAGTTATAAACATTTAGGATTGGACATAGCGATCTGTGTGTATGTGATGTGCACTTGTATATTTACATACAGCTTTACTGTGGTAGACATGTTAATATATACATTCACAYTATTGTATACTGATGTATACCAATATGGGGTATATCGGAGATAGTACATATGACATCTAACGAGATCTGCATATAGAGGGGCTGACCTTGGAGAAGATGCTAAGAATAATAATTCATTACATGGTTAATGCTTATTTACATTCTGGGTATATCAGAAGCACAGAACACACGCAGTGTATAAATATGGAAGAACAGTATCTTGGAATCATTTATTCTTTGAAGTGAATACAAAAATCAAACACGAGAGTCTCTTATTTTATGAATAAGAATCCAAAAATGGAAGGGGGAACACAGAGGTGAATTAAATTAGACTTTTTTTTAGTTGATATTTTTTTAATTTTGTGTTATTGCAGAAACTGGAACACAAAGAAGTTTCGGTTGGCTTATTGTTCCTGGTTTTCCCATTCATCCCAGCCAGCAACCTCTTCTTCAGGGTGGGATTTGTGGTGGCAGAACGAGTCCTTTACATGCCAAGGTAACTATTGAATTCCTTTCTAATGAGACTCCCATCACATTTTCTAAAAGCAGGAAAGATAACCGTGATCCCCTTTCACAGTGCTTCCAACATTATACGGTTAGTCAGCATGCTCTCTGCTTTTGAGTTTTTGTGCAATTGCATGAGAAATTTTATAGTCAGTTGAGAGCAGCCTGATTGGCAGAAGGAAAGCTAGCCAAATTCCATTCATTTTTTTAACACAGATATTTTGATGTGCTTGAAACAGCTCAATATAGCAATGAGGTTTCGTTTCTCAAGGATTGTCCTTCTATCCAGCTTACTCTTTCTCTTGCAGGCATTATGAACTGAAATTGCCTAATGTCTTTACTGTAAAGATAGTATCTAAAGGGTTCATCTATAATATTTTTATTGTGGTTGATGAGCTTTCCCACTATGTTAGGTGGCCAATAAAAACAAAGAAGCTGGTATTGGTGCCTTCAAAGCCTGCTGCTTTGAGATGTGGAATATCCATGTTGCTTCCTGCCTGTATGCCATTGACTGCAACCGTGTTTGGGAATGACAGTTCTGTCATTCAAAACTCTCATTCAAAATCAGGGGATATGAGGAAAATCCATCTGCTCCTCCAGTTCTCAGACTTTCCCCCCTGATTTCTCTTGGGTTTTTTCAGCCTCTAGCAATTGAGTCTTCAAAGCTGTGTGCTTCCAGTTGTTTTTACTTGAAGTACAGCTTCAAAGTGTTATTTTTGACATCTCTGCTGTATCCAGACCTGAGAGAGAAGTGGCCATTATATTCACCTAAGACGTGCCAGGTGATTGCCCAGTTTTTTCCAACCAGGAATGTGATTTCCTGCTTGGCTTCCCCAAGTGGGAAGACCCACTTCTACCCACAGCTGTGGAGCCGCCTCCTACCATCTCCAGTGAGGGCTGCACTTGTGCAGCTGTTGACAAGGCACAGTCATAAATTCCGCCTTGGAGTACTTTATGATGACTGAAACCATACCTTTATTTACAGCGTTTAAATTGAATTCCTCRGAAAATGCAAGCCCCAAAACCCTAGCGAAAAAAACACGTGTGGGCCTTCTTTTGCAAAGCCTTTTTGCTTATTCTTAAGGTCATTTGTATAAGCAAACTGCAACACAGGAACTGGGTGCAAAACTGGGTGCAAACTGCAACACAGGCAGTGTTGCATCTCCATGTGAGGAAGARCTTCTTCACTGTGATGGTGACAGAGCCCTGGCACAGGCCCAGGGAGGTTGTGGAGTCTCCTTCTCTGGAGGTCTCCAAACCCGCCTGGATGCCACCCTGTGCCCCATGCTCTGGGTGTCCCTGCTGGAGCAGGAAGGTTGGACTGGATGATCTCTAGAGGTCTCTTCCAACCTTAACTGTTCTGTGATTCAGTGAAGCACTGTCACAAAATGAGCGCTTACACCAGTTAAGCTCAGGCTGAGTAGGAGTTGTTAGATTTTTTGCACCTTTCTTATGGGGTTCAGCTCTGTCCCTGTGCTCTGTTATATACCCACTTGCCTTTGGGCTCAAGTCCTGCTGACTGTATTCCTATCAGAAGCCCAGCTCATGTTTGAGAAGGAGCCTGAAAGCATAGCGAGTGAAAGCTGCCTCTCGGTTTATGATACCCACAACTAATGGATCCTGCATCATTTCAAATTAACTTGAGATTCAGATTGCTTTAAATTCATGTAACAGAAAATGAGGAGACACATGAAAGCGCAAAGCTATTAAGGAGACAGGCGGCTGAGCACAGGGCTGTGCTGAGTGGTTGTGTTTCTGAATCTCGGGACAACAACTGCGGAAAATACCTCAGCCGTCAGCAGTTCCCCGTCCTCCTCCAGATGAGACTGCTGAGGAAATGAGAGGAGGGGCAGTGAAGAAGAAAAAAGGATGTGTGTGACCTGAGAGAATTCATCAGCATCCACACGTGTGCATATAGTGCATGCAATGCTCTTCGGCTCCCTGAGGGCTTTGCAAATGAATGACCTACCGAGTAGCTGGTTGAGAGTTAACTCCTTTCTCTYGAATGGGGAAACTGAGGCAGGGGCTTGAAACGGTTTCTCCGGAGCAGGTGGGTGTCGGAGTCGCCGGGTCTCGATCTGCACTCAGACCACACGTGTCCWGCTCTGCAGGGCTGGGCTTTGCCCTTACCCACCTAATTGGCAGCTGATGGGAGAGGGAAAGGGAGCCCAGCTCAGGGGCTGGTCCCACACAGCTCTGCCCCGGGGGTCAGCCAAGGGATGGCCACAGCATGAAGCTCTTGGGCCTGAGGGTTGCTAAACCTCAGGACCTCATGGTTCAACATAACCTGTGGGGTGGGCCTCTTTTGGGTGTTCATGACTATTGGTTCCTATCCTAAAATTGTAGCCTTTTATCAGCCTGTGTGGCTGTTCGGTTGCACGTACTGCAAATGTGGGTCACAGCATGAAGCCCTGATTCAGTTTTGCTCAGTAGTTACCTGGGCAAAATGTCAAGCATTTTGTTTTCCACAGAAGTTAAGTAAGGACCCAAGGATTTATGTAGAAGACGTTGTAAATGGGAAGGAACAAGAAAAAAGCTTTTGCTCAGYGTCTAATTATATGTCTGGGTCAGCCTTTCTGGAGGCTGATGTGTGTTTTGAACAATCCCTCCTCTGTCTGAAGCTGTGCCTCAGGGGGCTGGATGTAAGATAAGTCAAAGTGGTTGAATATTTCCTTTAATTGGCTCTGGCCAAACAGAAATGTTTGTAAAAAATATGTCGTGCATTTAGTTTTTATTTTTGGATTGCAAGGATATATTCGTCTAAATCAGAACTTAAAATGATCTCTTAAGTCTGAAAACTTTCAAAGATAATTAATTCTTTTTGGTCTTTATTTTTTGAATTTTTAATTTTTGTTGTTGATTTCTCATTCCAAAGAGGAGAAAACTTGTTCCATGGAAGGGGTGGAGGTGTGAAATATGTATCTTAGRAGAGGTGAGCAGGTTAGAGTTCCATGGGGCTACAGCATTCCAAAGAGCCATTGAAATAAATAGCTGGATCAGCAAAAACATCCAAACCATGGGATGTTTTTCTCCCTTTGAAAGATAAATGTAATTATAAGTACTAGATATTTGATAATACTGCTCAGAATACCACAGATACTCGAGTGGGGTTTTGTTTGTTTGCTTTTAATGTAGAACAGCTACGTGTGTCTGGTTGCTCGAAGCCACGAGTGATTTGGCTGATCTTAAGTGTGTTGTCCCTCACGTGGGGAAGCTGGACGGGCAGCGCAAACTCCCCGGTGCTTCCCGTGCTCCATCCACAGCTTGGCTGAGCCACTGTCACCAGCAGAGCAGGGTGGTTGTTTAACTCATTGGACTGAACCTTCTCTAGGTGAGCAGTTTCTAGGCTTTCCTCATCTTTGATCTGGTTTCAGTGGACCCTGGTTGGGCCACTCTATTGTGGCTGGATGTCATAAGTTATTTCYGCAGCATCATACCTAAACATTGATGCATGGTTTATTTTAGACATGGACAACCACCTTGCTTAAAGTGTAGGCAGCCCCTGCATGATCCTTATAGCTATCTCATTGTGGTACATATTGCAGTCATGGAGCTGGAGGATGCACAATTATTTTCTTCCTAGATGAAAGAGTTAGGGCTTGTTGTCATTCTTTTTTCACCAGCTCCTCACTTTCTCCAACCCTTCATTTTGCCAAAAGTTGCTGTTGCATCTCTAATCTTTAGCACCAAGGGATGAGATCAGTATTTTATGTGATGTGACTTTTTTGCTCATTGTCTGTCTTAAAAACTGCAAGAAATTGAGAATCTGGAAAAAAAAAGGCCTCATATTTTTCAAGAACTTAATGTAATCATGTTAGAACTTTTCAAAAGCCATAACAAAACTAGGACCATGTGGAATTTTTTGATTTCATGTGGAGCATGTTTTTGATTCTTTGTGGTAATGTGTTCAGTCCAATTATTACCTTTTGTAATTGGGGGAAAAAAAAAAAAAAAAAGGAACCTGATGGATAGTGGAATCATTTGTAGTTTTTATGAATGCAAATGCCCCTGAGCAGAAGTCCCCTTTACTTCTGAGGATGGGACTTAACTGGTTCTCCTCTCTGGGAGCACATTATTTGCTCTCCATTTTCTTCATTTTCTCAAAAGTCAGTTACGTGATGTTACACATTTTCACTCTTCTCTGCCACCTCTCTCTGTAAAGTCATTAGAAGCTACATGTTAACCAAGCCAGAGGACCTGAATTCCCACTTGCCTTTAGCATCCCTTTGGTATTAGGTTAGATAAGTGATAATGTCATTTACAGAAGAACCTTCCACTTTCAAGTTGAGTCCAGTCCTGGCCCCAGCCAAATCCCAGTAAAAGGGAGAGGGCAGCTGGCTGCCCTGAGCCCTCTGTGCCCTCAGGGCCATGTGCCTGGTCCATGGTCTCCCAAACGGGATCCACAGTCTCCCAAACGGCTCYGGAGCTTTTGGTTGATGGAGCCTTTGGTTGATGCACCAGCCCTGTCGCCTATGGCAGGTGACTCTGACSTTCTCTCCCCATCCGTGCAGTACAGATGACAACTCAGATATCCCCATCCAAAGGAGATGGGATCCTTCCAGATGTGGATCTAAACTGAAGGTCTAGCTCCTGAAGGTCTCCTCACCCTTATTAAACCCTTCAAGAGAAGTCAAGACAGCCATCCCTTGCTAATGCAAGCAAGAAGTGCTGAGATGCTAGTGCCAGGTATTTTGGCAAAAGGTGATAGAGATGTAGGAATAAAAGACAAAGTCAATTGAAAAATTGAAAAATTGAAAAAGATTAGCTTGGGTGGGTTTGGTCTAGACTGCAGGCTTAGATTATTTTAACTAAATTTAAAACATGCTTTTGAAAAGCAAGCTGCATTTTGGCCAGGTTCAATTGATTCGGGAAAAGCACACATTTGTGTTGATTATAAGCATCAATGGATATACTGGATTTCTGATTGCATTGTGATGGATTAGGTTAAAGGAAAAAATCAAATGCATTTGTTGTGCTCTTGAAAATAATACA